AGCAGCCGGCTGGTTCCGGGAGCAGCGTGTGGCCAGGGCATGCAGGCACCCTGCCTGAGCCCTGCTGCGCCGCTGGACTTTTAGCGGCCGGGAGATCGTGTTCGACGGATTGATGACCACGGATTTATTTTTGCAGGGTCCCCCTTAGCCCGAGGCCCTGGACTGCAGCCCCTAAAGCCCTTGCGTTGATCCGGCCTTGGATGGGGCTCCTAGAAGTACCTAACGTATTTAACCTGCAGTAAAGGCAGAACTAACTGTGGGTATATACAGACTAACAGTAAAGGCAGAACTAACTGTGGGTATATATGAGCTAGTGTCTGAGTGAGAAGATGTGTCCAGCTTAGGAAGAGAGATTTAGTGAGAGTCCCCGGGAGCTGCTACTCAGACTTCTGCTCTTCCTGATCTCGATAAATGACCCAATAAAAAGGGCTCAGCTGTAAACCGAGGCCACTTTATGAGGCTGTAAGCGAAGGGAAATGTACCCTGGAAGCCCTTTCCGATACTCCCCTCCATCATTGGAGAAATACATTAAAAACAGCGAGAGGCTCCGATACCATGGCAACGGCGGCCAGGTACGGCCCACGGCTGGCGTATTGATACAGAGGAAGCGGTGGGTGCAGTTCAGTAGGACTGACAGCGTGATGTGCTGTTCTGCTGGAAATACTGGCAGAGCATTGTGGTTGTTAAGATCCCCCGGCCTTTCTCTTCAGAGGAAAGTTGTTAATGCTGGTGTCCTGCACTAATCCCAGTGCAGGTCATTCCCCCTGCAGGGCGGCGATGCTCAAGCAGTGGGCTGCAGTCTCTGGAGAGCCAGTTAGTCACACAGTACTGGCTCCTCCTCCTCGTTTCCAGCTACAAGTGTCAACCCTGTGAGACTGGCTTCAGAAGAGGCAGCTCCCAGCTACAGTGACAGCAACAGCTCTGTATTTCGTACGGCACTATTCGTCCAAGGACCTCTAAGCACTTCACGTTAGGGACCATCACAGCAGCCCTTTCAGAGCACTGTATAGGTAGATGGGCCACCTAAGGAACACCTGGATCCGGGGAATTGTCCCAGGTCTCAATGGCCGAGGATATAAGTGACCCGCAACTGCTTGCTCCAACCATTAGACTACGCTCCCTCTGCATTACTAGCCCTTGTCGACACGGAGGCCTGAAGGTTCAAATGAAATAAAAATTGAACCCGAGGCAAGAGTTTAAAAATGGGGCTCTGAAGTCAGGCTCCAAAGTCCATATCTAGGTACCCGCGTAAAATACCAGATTCTTCAGAGCACTCAGTGAATAATTATGGATTTAGGAGCTGGAGTCCAGGCCTTTGTTTTACACACTATTGGCCCTAATCATTGTCCAAACTTTCTCCAAGTCTGCAAACTTTTGAAAGGTCTCTATTGGATTCACGTAGGGACCCCATAAGAAGAGGGGATGGATGGGCCTGGAGTTAAATCCCAGGATATAAAGGATCTGGGTTCAGTTGCCACCTTTGCCACAGACGCCCTGTGGGACCTGGGCAAGTCACTTAGGCCCAGATTTTTTATGGATATTTAGGCATTGTGACTGACTTTCAATAACACTTATGCTCCTAAGTGCCTAGGTTACTTCTGATAAGGACACTTAGGATCCTAAGTCAGGTGATGCAATGTGGAGCTAAGCAATGGCGAAAAGCCTTTAAAAATCTGAGCCTTAGTCTCTCTGGGCTTCAGTGCTCCACCTATAAACCAAATCAAATCCTTCCTTTCTCCCACTTGTCTATTTAAAGGTGGAATTCTGAACCGTGCTCTTAACTGTAAGCTCTTGAGACAGGGGCATTTTTACCCTGTGTATGTACATCTCCTAGCACCACGGTGCCCTGATTTCAGTTTGGGCCACTCAATATTATTGCAATGCAAATAATTAACTCCCCCGTGGGGTATGGCATCACCACAGTTGGCAGGGAGCCTCCCAGTCTACATAGGCAGACTCAGGCTAGCTCGGCTCGCGCTAGCGCACTAACAATAGCAGTGTAGACGCTGCGGCTCGGGCTCTCAAGCCCACCCAAGCTCATGGGTCTGAGCTCGGCTGGCTAGCCCAAGCTGCCATCCTAGCCACAAGGTCTACACTGCTCTTTTTAGTGTGCTCGCTAGCGCCCTCTAGCGTGAGCCTGCCTCTTGGGTTGGTAGACTTGCTTCCCAGCTGCAGTGTAGACGTGCCCTAGAAGACCAGCTCCTCAGCAGCTGTAAATGACCGTAGCTCTGTTGAGGTCATGTTTGACTGAAGTCAGTGGAGCTATGTTGATTTACACCAGCTGAGGATCTAACCTTTAATTTTCTTGACCCACTCAGCACAGGGTTTAACTGGAAATCTCAGGAGAATAGCCTCATGTCATTTCTTCTCTTTCTCTCTCTCTCTTTTTTTAGATCAAATGTAGCTGGGCCATGTTTGTTGCAAACAGAGGAGTAATTACATTTACTGGAAATGCTCTCGGATCAGGTATTCATTTACCAGCTGCTAAAATAAAACCAAGTGCCACTAGAGAGTTGGATTCGTAAAGTGGAGAAGGCAAATGAAACACGCAACCAGGGCTCAGTTGCTTCCTTTGGCCTGTAATTCTTCCTCCACGTCTGCTCATCTGAGTTTTGAAAGTTAGAAAGCATCCAGGCCAGCGGTCCGGGAGGAGAGAGTGTTCCACGCTATGCGGTAGCAGCTTTTAGCTGGGATCTCAATGCCCTGGACAAACATTACCCAATGAAGCTTAATAAATCACAACCATCCTATGACGTTAGGTATGGAATTATATGACTTCCACCATCTGTAGGGAGCAGCTGGTCCTGGCTTTGACTTCACTGCAGAAACTGTGTGTTTTTTATATCAGGGTAGCAATCTCAGTGGAAAATCATAGTGCAGACAAGGCACAGGTGGCTTCTACCTTGACCTGGGGAAGCCAACCTTGTACCGCACCGGGGGTTTGGATCGTCTAGCACCATCCGGGTAAAAATGACAGTGTCTCGTTCCAACTAGGATTTCACACAGAGGGACCTATTGCTATGTAAAAACTCGTCTCTCTTGAAGTGGAGACAGCCTACCGCAAAGCTAGGCCTAACCACAGGTCAGATGAGCAAGTAAAGAAAATGTTGTCTACTAGGGGCTTTCAGACTTTCTCCTTTCATCTTAACGGAGAGATTGTTGCATGGTTGCTGCCCATTCACCATCAAGCAGCCCAGCTCCCTTCCCATGGAGAGTCTCCCGACACTCCCCGTAATTACAGCCTTTGCTAGCCTGGAAATTGTGTCAAAGGCAGCTAAAAATCCATTAAGCAACATAAGAGCTGGAAATGAGGAGGAGGAGCTAGTCCCATGTGACTAGCTGGCTCCCCAGAGGCAGGCATTGGCCTGCAGACCACAGCTTGCGCATTGCCACTCTGCAGGGGGAATGTAATGACCTGCACTGGGACTAGTCCAGGACACCAGCATTAACAACTCCTAAGAAAAAGGCCATGGGATCTAAACAACCACAAGTATTCTCCAGTATTTCCTGCCGAACAGGACATCACGCTGTCAGTCCTACGGTACGGCAGCTACCGCTCCCTCTGTACCAATGCAGCAGCCGTGAGATGTTCCTGGCCCCTGTTGCCAGAGTATCTGAGCATCTCACAGGTTTTAATGTATTTCTCCGGTGAGGGAGGGAAGTATTATCCCATTCCCCACCCATTTTACAGACAAGGAACCGAGAAACAAAGGGCCAGGTTGACAAAGCAGGTTGGAGATGCAGAGAGGTGCCAGGTGGAATTTTCAAAAGCTCCTCATCTGCTCAGGCACCTACATCCTAGGTCATCTTGGAAGTCTGTGGCAGAGGAGGGAATAGCACCCACACCTTGGTGTTCCAGCTAGCTCCCTAACCATTGGGACATCCTTCCTCTGTGAGGCTACTACCCTATTGTAGTTTGTAAAATGCTTTGGGATGCTTGGATTTGATGGTGGTGGGACCCATAAAAGTAGGCAGAAAGGAAGCATCCTAAAAGTCTGGTTTTCTCTGTCAAGGGTGACTCTGTCCTTTGCATTTTTAATTTAAAACATGGTTGATAATCTTGCTACCATCCAGTATGTAACTGGCCCTTTGCCAGCGTGGTTGCACGGCAGCTATGTCAAGCAATTTAGTCAGTGCCTTTTAATTTTGGGATTTCTTATGGGATTAATGAAATTCACGCAGAAGGTGATAATGCAGCAAAGCATAGCTATTGGCATGAGCTCCCACCACAGAGACACAGTCACTTGAACCAGATAGATAGGGGCTTAAATGGCAGAGATAAAACTTAGCATAAGTGTCGTTTTTCTTCTAATGTGAGAATTCTCAAAATACAAAAAGCAGCAGCCCCAAAGGAAGTGGTTGGTAATAAGCATGATATGGTAAATGGATGAATATTAATGTGACTCTGATAGGGTTGTTCAGCTATCTCTAGGAACTGCGCGTAAACATCAACCTGTGCACCAACCCCCCCCCCCCACACACACACTATGCAGAGCCCTAATTCACCCCTTTCCTAGGGTTTGGCTTTTTTGAAATCAGCAATAACAAAATTCAGGCTTGGCTGATCGTAGGGTTCCTCACCCAGGACTGCTCAGCCCACACCTTAGATCCTCTCTCCTCAGGCAGCTACTCGCACTTATCTCAGTAGGGAAATGAATTGCTGATCTCAGAGTCTGCAGAACCCACCAACAGTTATCAATTGCTAACAGGGAGAGGTTGTTTCAGGCAAACAGCTCCAGTCAGTTAGTGCCCTTTAAGGTTGGTAATCCTTTAAAACCTACATCCTGGGCCTTTTTGGTTTTGGTGTCATTTTGAATTTCGCTGGAGGACAATGATGATTGACAATGATATGCCGTCACATGGGGCTACTCCTATGAATCATAGAAATGAGAGCTGTAAGAGACCTATTTGGTCATCTGATCTATCTTCCTAGCAATGCAAGAGTCTTTCCTGATGTACATTTGGTAGTGTTTTACACGGTGAAGCTTTCAATGTTTTAAGGGATGGGGCTTCCATGTCTTCCTTTACTCATCAGCCAGCTAGACTAATGGGTCCCTGCCCCAATCACTGTGCAAACAAAAGGAGATTCCAAGCTACATTGTTTAGAGTATGGCAAGGGATGATGAACAGCAGAACAAAGAGAGGGTGGGAGGATGAGGGTGACAGCAGTGGGAGATATGGACTTTCTCATTATCAATATGAAAGACCAATTCTTTTTTGAATCCTACTAAGCTCTTTGCCATGATAGTATCTAGTGGCAATGAGTTCCACAAGATAACCTGGTTTAAAATAAACAAATACAAGTATTTTCTTCAATTGCTTTAAAATGTTTTGCCCTTTGTCCCCAATTCCCCTTCTCTAGCCCATTTACTAGGTTACAAACCTCTATTGCGTCCCCTCTTCTTCATTTCCTCCCCAAAACTAAACTGGTCTTTCAAATCTGTCTCCATTTGGGGGTCTCTAATTGTTCTTAATGCCCATCCGTGGACCCCTTCTGCTTTGGCTGGACGTTTTTCTGAGATGGGGTGACCAGATCTGTGCACAACTGAGTTATTAAATTCTGTGTAGCATTTATGATCAAACTCTGAGTAATTACATTTTATGTAGCCTTTGTGTATCATTTGCAGTCAGATCATTTAGCTTTCTTTGGCACATTGAGCCTGTGAGGAATCACCATCTATTTTCTTTTGCTTTTCCATCATGCAGAGAGTGTGTATGGGAGAGAAGGAGGGTGAATAAGAGGGGAGCCCTCAAAGAACATAAAACCACCGTGCAAACAAAAGATCCATGATCCTTAGCTGGAGGCAATGCACCCTTAAAGTCAGTGGAGTTACACTGATTTACATCAGCTGGGGATCTGGTCACAGGCCGTCAGTAAAGCCGTGATGTCAATTTGGTTTAATTGTCCACAGTGGAACAGGTGGCAGAGTAGCTGGACAAGCCATGGCCGCACTGGGCTAGGCTCTGACTCTCCCTTGGGCAGTTCAGCACATGTTCAACCATGAGTGTAACTGCCAGAAAAACCAGCCCTGCCACTGCTGAGCTGACCCAATGGGGACGTCACACTCCTGGAAAAGGACAGAGGGATGGTGTGACGTCCCTGCTCACTGTTTGTCCCACCGTGCGCTCTCTGTACCGTCGGGTTTCTGAGGAGCAGAGGCCACGTTCTTTCCCCCTGGGCATCTAGCCAATGAGAAGGGTGTCACCCCACCAAGCCAGGTAAGCAGGAGCCCACCTGCAATGCCTTTAATGGGGCCCCTTGTACAAGGCCCAAGAAGCATTCCTCTCTCCCCGCAGCCTCAGTCGAACGGCTCTGCCCTGCGAGCAGACAGGAGGATTCAGAGCAGAGGGTGGGGGCCATTGGAGGAGGTGTCCACTGCCAGACAGGATGGGTGGTCCAGTGCTGACCTGAGTTCAAGTTCCTGCTCTACCACAGACTCCATATGTGACCTTGGGCAAGTCACTTGGCCTCCCTGTGCCTCAGGTCCCCATCTGTAAAATGTGGTACTGGGCTGTTGAGGGATGAATGCACTGAAGTCTGTGAGGTGCTCAGATATTAGGGTAATAAGGGCCACCTAGTCTATAGGACAGTGGAATGTGTGTGTGTTTTTCCCCAGAGGGTTCAGGTTGCTGTCTCTGAACCCCTGTTTGCCACAAAGCAGCTTGTATCCTGGACCAGTTGGGACTGGAGCACGACTGGCACACGTCCTGCTATCACTTCAATCTGCCTCGTCCTGAGTGGGGCCGCATTGACCACGGGGCTCCCCTGCCTCTGTAACTTTGGCACTATTGTCTGATCTGGCCAAAAACATGCTTCCCAGCAGTGGGAAACCATCCCTCTCTCAAAGCCGAAAGTCGGTATTCTCAGCAGTAAACCAACTACCATGACACAGGTGTAATGGTGGTGCAAGGCAATGGAGAATCAGATGGCTCCTTTGTCTTGCACCTCCTACATCCACGCTTCGCCAGGCTGGAGGGTAGAGTCTCCTCCTACAGATTGCTTTGGGGATGGGCTCCCAGAGGTCATGGGACTTCTAATCGGGTGGCCTCTTGCTGCAGCAGACCTCCCTAAGCCGTGGTGTCCCCTCTGAAATGGGGAGCTCTTTCGATTCTGCTGCCTCTACAGTTGCCTTTTATTAGCATACATCTGTGGGTCACAGTACAGGGCCAGATCCTCAGCTGGTGTCAATTGGTGTTGCTCCATTAAAGTCAGTGAACCACTGTGACTTATACCACGTGGCCCAAGGTTCCTCGCACATGGACTGGCTTCTTGCTGGGACATGGTTATTTGTTGTTCTCTGAGGACCCCTTTTTACTCGGTGTCTTAATGGCAAAGTGATTCTACGTTTCTCAGTAATGTCAATTATGCTGAACAAGATTTGCCTGGCAGCGTCAACTTGGGAACATGCTGTGACAGACCAGAGGGCCCCCTGCTAAGAATGCACTGTCTACTCAACAGCTTCCCAACCTTTAAGTGTGATAGTGAACGATGGTGAAAACACTACCGCTGTGCATGAGGAGAGAGGACTAGCCTGAATCTGTTATGCTTAGCCAGGGGCCCGATCTCGTTACTCCAACCCATGCCAGGGATGTGCGTATGGATGCCATCTATCCATGGATCAGGTACCCAAGGGCAGCAGATGGAGAAGGATGGGCTTGTGTTTAAGACACTGGCTTGGGACACAGCAGATGAAGGATGGTTGAGGGTGTTAGCTTAAGACTCAGGAAACCTGGGTTCAATCCCAGCTCTGCCTCAGCTTTCTCAGTAAAATGGGGATGGTGATTATAATACTTGATCCAGGGCTGTTGTGAGGCACCCAGATGCTACATTGGTGGGGGCCTGAAAGCAGATGGAAAATAATTTTGTGATCTTCTTCTACATGGCTCTGCCAATGTGCCCTGAGCTGGAGGGACCACCTCTGGTAGGTAAGAGGACAGGTTTAGTTTCCACGCCACATTGTCTTTGGTGCCTCTGCTCAGCCCAACAAGGGGGCCATGTAGAATTGGTATGTCGTAGACACCTCTCCAGGGTGCCATGGAGACCTTGCTTCTCCATACTCCAGAGTGCAGCATTACCTCGGGTTGCTTCACTCATGTTCATCCCCAAGCCCAGCTGGACTCTCATGAATAACCTGCCTCCATCCCATTTTTGAGCCATGTGACTTCCTGGAACACTTTTACTAAAACAAACCCACTTGTTCCCTAAACAACCCGAACAGCTTTAAATCCACTTGTAAAAGCCACTTGTTTAGCAGGGCATTCTGTTTCCTTTTCTAATCCATTTTCATTGCAGACTTGACTAGGAACAGCAGCGCAGTTGGTATCAGCTTTGTACAACCCCCTGTAGGAAAAGTGCTGTATAACATTAAACTAAATGAGAGAGAAAAGGTGGGTGAGGGAATATCTTTTATTGGACCAACTTCTGTTGGTGAGAGAGACAAGCTTTCGAGCCACACAGACCTCTTCCTCAGGTCTGAGACAGTACCGGATTTACCATGGCGCCGGGCCCACAATCCAAAGGGGCCCCGCCCCGGCCCGTTCTTCTCCACCTCCCCC